CCTTAGTAAAGTGAAGCATAAAGATCACAGATACTTACTAATCATACACTTCTATAACCAACATAAACGTAATTACCTGTTGATTAAAGTATAGAGTCAAAGATACTCCAAATTAGAATTAAAATGGCATTGCAGCTGTTTGAATCAAACAGGTAATGGCACAGACATAGCTGGGAGAAAAAACAGCTGTTTCCTGCCATGCAGAATTAGAGATTCATCAATCCTGGTGATTCCTGTTGCAGGGAGCATATTTAGAAAGAACCTACAAATGTTTCTTATTCATTGAGGTGATCAATTGTTCAAGGACAAGATCTAGCCAACAGCTTCTTTCTACTTACTTTCTTAAAGCAACCAGACCACTACATTATATTAGTACAGGATTCTAATTTTAAAAAGCTAGAAAAATGAATTTGAATATCTTAATCATAAAGACATAAATTTAAAAATTTAAAATATTATAATTATTAATATGTTGTATTCAAACTAGTTAATCTACAGTAGTAAGAGTAAGTTTATGAAAAAAAAATTCAAACTGAAACTTGTAGCATGACATTTTCTCCATAATGATTTTTTTTTTTTTGATGGGGGGTACCAGGAATTGAACTCAAGGGCACTCAAGCACTGAGCCATATTGTTGTAGGGGACAGAGGAGGCAGGGCATTGAAGATAGCAGGAAACAGTTTTATTTGGCTGTAGCCCGGTAGAGAGAGTACAATTTTTGTTGTAATCAATTAATCCCCTGAACCCCAAGTTCAGGTAGTTTCAGAACTTTATACCCAGCGTGTAAAGGGAGGGCCTCAGAAGCTCACATTCTGCAGAAGTTCACACAAAACCAGCTTTTTCTTTCACTGTTTTGGGCAAGTTAACCTTTCAAGGATAGCACCTGAGAAGGGTAGAGCTTCTGCTCTCCACCCCTCCCCACAGCTGTTACCATGGAGCCCAATTGGTAACTTCTCTTATGTTAGAAATACAGACATCTCTTTGAAGTTCCAGCTTAAGGCCAGAGGCCTTGTTAAAGGATTTGTCTTTTGTTTTGTTTTGTTTTTGTTTTTGTTTTAATCACATTTTGCATTTGCAAATACACTTCTACAAACTACTATACTGGATAAATGTTTGTGAAAAACTAGTAAAGGGGCATTCAGCACCTGCAGTACTGATTTCTTCCAGGCCAATGGCCAAGTAAAATAGAGCAACAGGAAAATAGAAAGTTTAACTACATTGAACTCTTTTGTAGAGACTCTTGTGCTGATAGTACTAAGATTAATTATGGTGAAGCTTTCTGGAGAAGCTTAATTAAGATTTTCTGTGGAGGAGGGGGTGCCATTACAATATCCCTAGCTTATTTTGTATTTTATTTAGGGACAAGGTCTCATTGAGTTACTTAGCACCTTGCTTTTTCTAAAGCTGGCTTTGAACTGACAATCCTCCTGCCTCAGCCTCCTGATATCCTGGGATTGCAGGCATACACCATCATGCCTGGCTCCTGAATGGATTTTTTAAATAAGTATTTTCACATCTCTAGGTCTTCCCCTTCCTGACCTCAACTTTGATTTCTGCCCCAAAATTTAGAAACACGTTAGTAGCAAACATTAGAATATATTTTAATAGGCTTAACAATTTTTTTTGTTTTAAATATGATTTATTCAAATGTGTATATGCATATAAAGTAAATTTGTTTGAGTATTGATGCAGTGTGTTTGAAGGAGCTTGACATATCACAAGTAAAAAAATTATTTTGTTCTTAAATCTCTGTATGAACAAAACCATTATTTTTTTTATTCCATGTCTGTTTGTATGTGTATGTGTGTATACATATATATGTGTGTGTGTATATGCATATATATATATATATATATATATATATATATATATATATATATATATATATATAATCTGTATTTTCACCGCTCTGGTCATGTAGGAGTAAAGGTATGTAGGTCTTCTCCAGATTATTATGTTAATTTTCAAAGTTCTGGGAGCCAACAGAAAAGTGTGAACAGCTTAACAGCTTTCTATTTTTCTATAGTGGAGATCTGGATAATCAAGATCCCCAAGCCCTCGGGTAATCTGTAATTGGTTTGGAATCCAACCTTATTGAATTGTGCTCTCTGCTCCTGCCATCCTCTTTCATAAACATGGCAGAACAAAGCTATAAAGTCTTTTTCTTTCACTATAGGCAAAGGTGGCAGGGACATGTTTCTTAACCCCTATATTCAGGCATTTTGTATTAACCTAAGAAAATATTAGAAACAGTATTCCTCTTGTGTAAGTGTTCATAAAAAGCATAAAATCATACTTAAGTACATGGTTTTGAAGCCAGACAAAGGGTGCAACTGCTTGGTTTTTCATACTAATAAGAATAACCCAGTGCTGGTCTTTGGGCTGGGTCATAGTAATATCTAGCTATGCTAGAGTTTCTACACTGAGAGTAATTTAATCATTCAGGGAGTTACATGTCTGAGTAATAATATATTAATAAATGTTATGTTCTGCAGTTTAATAAGACTATGGAAATATTTTTTAAATATTAAGGAGGCAAAGGGAACACAGAAAATAACAATCTTGTTGTCTTAATCCAGCAGAGTCTAGAAGAGATTCCATTTGAACTACATGCTAGAAGATGAGCATTATTTGCCAAGAAAACGTGACAAGGGTTAGGGGTTTGGGCATCAAAAGAGGAAGTAAAGAAAGGCACAATATTTCAAAGAGGTATGGTGTCTTGGGACAATAGTTAGAAATTCAGTAGAACCCAGTAGAGTGTAAAGAAAGAGTGGTTAGCTAATAGGGTAGATCATGGTTTAATTTGTATCTGGTATGCAATTCTGATTGTTGTGTCTTTGCTTACACACTTTAATGGAATCACATTATCTACAGAAAAATAGAACAATGACCTAATTCCAATGCTTGATTTATTGAATGCTTGCTTTGTGTAAATTGTTTTTACAAGTTGTTTACATGTTTTAATTAACTTAAGATTTCCACAACTTTTTGTTTTCTCTACTGTGAAGACTAGAAAACTGAGGAATGAGCTATAATTCATAGGTATAGAATAACTTAAACCTTATCATGGAGATAAATGCATTTAATAAAAAAGAAAACAAAGGGAGAATTGTTGCTGGAAATAGAAACAAAAGGAAGAAAAGCAGGTGATTGCTGGTATAATTTGAAAACCATTAAGGTTTAATGTACTTTATTTCCTAGGAGCAAAATACCATAATAATTAAATTCAATTGCATAAATAATCATTTTATAAAGCCCAGGTCAGAATTAGAAAATTTTCAATTAACACTGAAAGTATTTATAATCCAGCATCTAATCAGTTCAATATTTGCTACATTTATTCAAATAGTGAATGAAGTGAGCATATGGGACACTTGGCCAGACTTCACAAATTATACTAGTATACATAGGATACATTACTTGTTATATCATGATTGGTTTAGGTCAAAATATTTGTCATTAATCAATCAATACTATGTAAATTATGTTTTAAACCAATAAAAAATTTAGGAGGATAAAAAGAACCGTGCTATTGGCCTAATCTTATTTTAATAGTATATTTATATTACTTTTATGTAGATATAGAACACCTACCTACAAAGGCAACAGATAATGCTGATCAAATGGAGGATCAAGACAGTGATAAATGCTTAAAAATAAACTTAAAATATTACATAACATAATTCAACACAGTTGATAAATAGAAGTACAAAGTTTTGAACATTGCAAAAATTATCAAGAGAAATCTGACATTTAAAATAATCAAAATATTGATAAGTGTCTACACACTAAATATCTGTGACAGTAAAGATGGAGTTTGGCATAGTGAAGAATAACATGAACTCTGCAGTCATAAAGAATTGTGTTAGAATTCTTGTGTTTTGAGTCACTATTTCATAATATTCTGGGCTTCTATATTTTGTGTGTGTATGTGGGTGGTGCTTGGGTTTGAACCCAGGGATTAGTGCGTGCAAGGCAAGCACTCTACCAACTGAGCTATATCCCCAACCCCTGGGCTTCTATTTTTTAATTAATCAACCTGGAAAATAATATTTAGCTGGCATAGTTTTGCAGCTTAACAATAACAAATACAAAGGTTCTAGGACAGTACTTTTACTCATGTCAGGAACAAATAAGTATTAATTTCCTTCTTTACTTGATATAAAATTATAAGAACTGTGATCACACCAATATTGTAAATATTAAAATAAATACCAGAAACAGTGGTCTTTGTTATGACTAGTACACTCAGATAATACCCATAAGGAAAGTTAAGATGCACAGGGCACACTGTGGGAGGTACAGAAGAGTAAAAGTAGAAAATTACGATTTCTGAAAATTAGGTGTAAAAAAGGTGGGTAGAGTTGGGAAATTATTCATTTGAAAAAGTGAAAAATTGATTAAAAACGTGATATATGTTAACATTCCAGAGCTCCAAGAGCTAAGGGGCCAATACCATCTCAAGAGTCCTGGGTATAGATTCTGGGAAGAATCTATAATAAAATAATAATAATAAGAAGAAGAAGAAGAAGAAGAAGAATCTATAATAAAATAATAAAAGTGCAATGGACCCTCTACAAAACGCATACCCTTAGCAGAGAGTACTCAGATGTCAGCTAAAAAGTTGTCCTTCAGGTTGACATGAGAAGGAAATTCAGGATAGATGAATTTGAAGATTTTCCACTTATAAAATTTAATTTTTCTAACAAAAGCTAATAGAGCTTATCATTTAAAAATGTGAATTCAATTTTTATTTTATTGCTCACAGATAATTAGGTTTTAAAACAACTGAAGAAGCTCTTGACTTTGTGTCTGGCTGCATAGTTTGTGCTCAGTGTCACTGGGTTTTTTGTTTTGTTTTTGTTTTTTTCACTCTAAATTCAGAAACACTTCTAATGCAATGCTTCGGATCTTCCAGATGCGTTTTTCATTTGTTTTCAGATTTGTTGTAATGACCCTGGCAGAATACTTTTGCTCTAACAGGAAAGACTCCTCCAGAGAAGACAGAGGGCAGCTGCACCATGGAACCAGCCAATAAATCCGAAATATCTCCAAGCAGCTTCTTGCTGATGGGCATCCCAGGGCTAGAGCACTTGCACGTCTGGATTGGGATTCCCTTCTGTTCCATGTATGTGGTGGCTGTGGTGGGGAACGTGACCATCCTGGCTGTGGTGAGGGCAGAGCGAAGTCTCCACGAGCCCATGTTTCTGTTCCTGTGCATGCTCTCAGTGACTGACCTGGTGCTGTCCACTTCCACGCTGCCGCGCATGCTCTGTCTCTTCTGGCTGGGAGCCCACCACATAGCCTTTGATGCTTGCCTGGCTCAAATGTTCTTCATCCACAGCTTTACTGCCATGGAATCAGGCTTCTTCTTGGCCATGGCCATTGACCGGTACGTGGCCATCTGTGAACCACTGCGCCATGCCACAATTCTCACCCACAATCGCATTGCCAAAATGGGAGCTGCTGTGCTGGTGCGGGGAGTAGCCTTCTTTTCCCCACACCCCATCCTGCTCAAGCAGCTCCCCTACTGCAGAACTCGAATCATCGCACACACCTACTGCGAGTTCATGGCTG